GATTGGATCATATGGTAGATCAATTTTGAGCTTTTTGAGGTATCTCCATACCATTTTCCACAGTGGCTGCACCAGTTTGCATTCCCACCAGCAGAGGATAACTGTTCCCCTTTCTCCACATCTTCGCCAGCATTTGTTGTAGTTTTGCCATTCTGAGAATGGTAAGATGAAATCTCAAAGCGGTTTTGATCTGCATTTTAATCTGCATTTCCCTGATGACTAAAGATGTTGAACATTTAAAAGAGTATGTCTAGGCAAGGTTTATCTGAGAGTGTTTGGTCTTTGCCCAAGCATTATCTACATGGCACATGATAATTAAAGGTACCAGACTGGTGGAACTAACATTACTGGATGTTTAATAGCCATACTATGAGGCCTGTACTAATTTGGACAAAGGGACATAAAGGACAGTTTTTGTTCCTTTCCCTCCTAGGTTGACTAAGCTCCAGTGGACTATGAGCATCTCACAAAATGTCCTGTAACTGTGGTTAGTCACCTGCCCTCTTGATCAAGGAGGCCATGGAAACCCCATGAGATGGACTTGAACCAATGTCCAGTCTACAAAGAGGAGGGTCAACACAGAGGAAACATTTCCTCCATGCTTCCAAGCGAAGCCAGCCATGGTCAAGCAGAACCTTTGACTCATCTTCACATAGATGCATATGGAGCCAGGGGATCCTCCCAAGCCCATGTAACTCCTGGGGAACAGATCCTCAAATGACTTTGAGAGTAAAAATAAATTGGTTTATCTTGGCCAATTGTAGGGTCTTAAACATCCAAAAGGAAAGTATAACCAAAGACTAATGAGGTCAATATAATTCTTTTTAAGAATTCATATGTATAGCTAAAGGCTACATAACAAGAAACAATGCCAGATAGGAGATACCTTCTTTTGAGTTATTGGCCAGCATGGCCCAAAAGACTCGCAGACAGTAACCCAGCATAAAACTGGGAAAATGAACAGCAGACCCCAATCTTATCTAAAGGAATATTGACGACTGATTGCTGCTAGATGAGGAACAGCTGATCTTCCTGAAACAAGGATCTCTAGATAGGCTGACTAGATTCAGCAGACGGACAAGCACTGGGGAATGGCTGTGGGCTCCAACAACACAGTGGACAGTAACAGGGATGATGGAGTATATGGGCTCCAGTATGTGGGAGCTGGGAGGCTATGGGAGGGTGCCATTTCAGAAGTGGGCATATAGATGAATAAGATTGTTTGGGATGTTCTGTATGAGATACAAAAAAATCAACAAATGAAAAAGAAAAGACATATTTGAGGAAGAAGATAAACATTTACTTCATGTTAATTAGTAGAGGTGATAAACATTACCATTGAAATCTACCTGATGGCTTTATATCCATACTCAGGTGCCAAGGATCCAAGTGTAACCAACTGTGACTAGTAATAATCAGATACATAGAGATTAAAGACACATGTGCAAACATCCAAGCCTTAGTAGCATTGAAAATGTAGGAAGCAGCATAATTTAAAATGAAATGGAGATCTTCTTTAAAGGTTAAAAACTCATTCAATTTTATGTCTTACAGGGTTTATACTGAGTTCAGTATTGTAAGTATTGTATAACCATATTAATTCAACTGTGAAACTAAAAACTTACAGCCACTTTTGAAAGAGGTGTATCCTTGCTCTGGAAATTGTTACTGAGTATGTTAAAACTGCAATGAAATGCTTTTTCTCATCCATTTGTGTTTCATCTTTAGAGAACTCCCCATTCAGCAACTTGCTCCACTTTTTGATTGGGTTGTTTTTCGTTCAGTTTTTTGAGTTCTCTGTATATTCTAGATATTAACCATCTGTCAGAGGTATAACTGATAAAGATTGTTTCCCATTCTGTGGGTTGTCTCTTCAATGGAATGATAGCATCCTTTGATGTGCAGAGCCTTTTAGTTTCATGTGACCCCGTTTGTCAATTGTTGAATCTAATGCTTGTGCTATAGGAGTCCTGTTCAGAAAGTTCTTTCCCATGCCTATAAGTTCCAATGTATTCCCTACTTTCTCCTCTATCTGATTCAGGGTATTGGGTCTCATGTTGAAGTCCTTGATCCATTTGGAGTTGAGTTTTGTGCAGGGGGAGAGATAGGAATCTAGCTTCATTCTTCAACATGCTCTCATCCAGTTCTGCCAGCACCATTTGTTAAACATGCCTTCTTTTCTCCAGTGTGTATTTTCAGCTCCTTTGTCAAAAATCAGGTGGCTCTAAATGTGTGGATTTAAAAGTGAATCCTCAATTCTATTGAACTGATCAATCTTTCTGTTTTTATGCTATTTTCATTACTATAGCTCTGTAGGATAATTTGAGATCAGAGATGGTAATGTTTCCAGTTGTTCTTTTATTGTTCAGGATTATATTGGACATCCTGGTTTTTTTGTGTTTCCATATGAAATTTGAAATTATTTTTCAAGTTCTGTGAAGAATTATGTTGGAATTTTAATGGGTACCGCATTGAATTTGTTTTTGATGCTCAGTATATGTGATGATAGGTTTTAATCATCAACTTGACACAATTTAGCATCACCGGGGAAGGGAGTCTTAATGAGGAATTGTCTAGATTAGGCTGGCCTGTGGGCTTGTCCGCGGGGGACTGTCTTGATTAGTGAGAAGACCTGCCCACTGTGGGTGGCACCATTCCCTGGATGGGGAATCCTGCTTGTAAGGGCGTAGAGAAAGCCATCTGAGCAGTAGCTTGCATGCATGAATTCATTGTTTTCTGCTCTTGACAGTGGAAGTAATAGAACCAGCTGCTTTAAGTTCTTTCCACCTTGATTTCCCACCGTGATGTACTGTACCCTGGAATTGTGAGCCAAATAAACACTTTCTCCCCTAAGTTGTTTGCATTGGGCATATTATTTATTTTTATTTGTGTCTGTGTGTGTGCCTGAGTGTATGTATGTGCATCTTATGAGTGCAGTGCCCACTGAGGACAGAATGGAAGGGTGAATGTCTGGCCTTATTTTTTTGAGACGTGCTCTCACTGTGTAGTCCTGAATGACCTAGAACTCATTATGTAGATCAGGCTGGCCTCAAACTCACAGTGATCCTCCTGTCACTGTCTCCCAAATTCTGGGATTAAAGGTGTGCACTACCACATCCAGTTCTGGGGTTGGGGGCAGGATTTTAAACCATAGCAACAGGAAATGAGAAAATAAGACTACATATGTGTCCAATTCACCTAGAGAACTCTAGTGATTTCCTTTGGGCGTGGCCTGCTGGTGATTTTCCTGTTTTGATTTCATTTTTAAAAAATGTTTTGAGACTGGTGAGAAGGTTCAGTGGTTAAGAGCAATGGCTGCTCTTGTAGAGGCCTGGTTTCAATTTCCAGCACAACATGGCAACTAACAACTATTTGTAACTCCTGTTCCAGGGGATCCGATACCCTCTTCTGACCCCTGCAGACATTGTACAACATGGGTGCACTTACATACATATAGGCAGTGCACTTATATACATAATCAGATAAATTAGTTTTAATTAGTATATTTTATCTATAATAGTTTCATTTGGACAGTTCATATATATTTATATAATACATTTTGACCATATTCATCCCTATCTTCTTCTCTTGCCTCCTACATCTGCTGGTCACCTTCCTCTTCCCAAATAATCTCACTTCTACCTTCATGTCTTTTCTTTGATGACTAAATGAGTTTGACTGTGGTTGCATGGCCCACTTGGTTGCATTTACAGGAGCATGCCCTCTCCCATCAACTGTTAACTGCCCTAAGTCCTCAGGGAGGGGTAGGGCCTCATCAGTACCACCCCCTTCCATGACAGGATGTTGATGGTCTTAATAGTGTGTAATTACAGGTGCTGTGAGTTTAAGAGGGCCATGGTTATTTACACCCATAAGACAATAGTCCACAATACTCCACCTTCCTCCAGCTCTTACATTCTTTTTGCCTCTTCTTCTATCCTTGAGCCTTGGAGGTGAGACACATGTCCTATGTATGGTGTAATATTCTGCAGTCACATTTTTTAAAAAGACAAGGTCTCATTATGATTTCCAGGACAACCTGAACTCTTGAATTTTCTCCTGCCTCAGCTTCCTGAATATGTCATGATGTGTTTTTAAAATGAGCACATAATCAACAGGTTTCATTATATCTTCATAGTAGTTTTGGTTGAATGCCCTCCTCCTATCCCTCACTTCCCTGCCCTTCTCCTGGTTTGAACTCTTCGTTTGTACTCTTCCTTTCCCAGTATTTCCCTTTCCCCTTATGTATCATGTATGCCTATTACTATGTTTCCTCAGTTCTCCCACAAAGAGCATATTTATTTTCTTCTCACGGACCCCTTTGTAGTTTATTGGCCTCTAACCCCACTCAGTCCCACATAAATGACATGTATAAAAATTATATAGGCTCTTCCTATGAAAGGAAACACTGGATATTTGCCTTTCTGGGCCTGGGTTATTTCACTTAATATATTTTCTAGGTACAAAAGGAAGCTTCGCCTGGGATTCCAGAGTGTAGTGAGCTTTGGTAACTAGTTGGCAACCATTCTGGAGCGTCAGGAGCGCTGCTTATTATTCCATTTTTTTTCTCTGTTTATTATTTAAATATTTTATTTAGTTATTATTATTATTATTATTTAAATATTTTATTTAGTTTTTATTATTATTATTCCAAAGAGAGGCAATTTTTAACGTATTTTTCCAGAAATAATTTGAAGCAGGTTATTCCATTTTTTAACAGTATCCTAAAGACTCAAAGCACACATTGAGTCATTTATCTTGAATGAACCCCATTTTACAGACGAGGCCACTAAGTCTCGGAGAAGGTAAGGTGACAGAAGAGGCGGCCCTGCAGTTCTGTAGGAAGTGATCTTGTCCTCCAGCCACAGGTCAGATTTTGAGGCTGCGTCAAGTTCGGAAGGTCAAAGTTTGCTGGGTGGTTACAAGTTTGGCCAGCACATGCTGGACCGCCGCGCGCCTGCGCAATCCGGCAGCTGCGGGGTTAACCCGCGGCCCCGCCCCGTGGACCATCCTAGGTCCACGGACGGTCCGGGGCCCTGCTCCGAGCTCCCCTGGAGTCCCTGCGCCGCGCTCCCGCGCCTCTGCGCCTGCGCACGGTGTGCAGGGGACGGGGTCGGACTCAGAAATGGCGGCCTCCATGTTCTATAGCCGGCAGTTGGCAGCCGCGGTCCTGAGGAGTCACCGGCCGCGGACCGTGCTGCGGGCCGCCGCCAAGGTAAGCTGCCGGGCCTGTTGTGGCCTCCCGGGTCGGCAGGGCGTGGCGTGGGGACGCGGGCCCAGCTGCCCGCACTCCCCGCCGCTGACATTCCCGGGTGTCCTGCAGGGCTCGGAGGGAGCGCTGCCGGCCAGGGCTGCGGGCGGGCGGCTGTGGGCGGTTCTGCCTTCCCCAGGAGCCCAGGCCGTGCGGCCCTGGCAGCCCGCCGAGCTCCTTAGACGACGGCGGGTCACGGAGGGGACCCTGGCCTGGCGGTCCGCGGCCCTTAGTGGGCCGAGGCTTCGGGGTTCCCACCTGGTGCACTTAGGGTGACTCGTGGGAGCTGTCACGGGTGGGAAGGACTTCTGAAGACCAGCAGTGTCTGCCTGCTTATTCTCCCCAGTGTGTGACTGTCAGTACCAGTAATGAGTTTGAAGTTTCCCAGCTTACTACCTGGGGCAGTAAGAAAGTAATCCAGGGGACTTCATTTCTGGATGGACTCTAGTTAGTAGCCACTCGTTTGGTTGTTTTGTTTTTCAATATTTGTAGCGTGTCAGGAATTGTCCTAAGGTCATTGGGAGGCTTGTCATTAAGACCTGTATCATTGATGAAGATCTTGTGGCTAAGAGAAAAGTACTTTGGCCCAGGAAACAGCAGATGAGGTGAAGGCTGAGGTTTAATTCCAGAACTGTCCACTTCTGAAGCCCGTGTGCTTGAGTGCCTACAACTTAAAGAACCTAATGGATGGAACTGGAAATGTAGTTCATTCGATGGAGTGTTTGCCTAGAATGTGGCAGGCACCGGGTTCCATACCCAAGCGTTCATGAAGTAGTGGCAGGAGGATCAGAAGTTCAAGGTCATAATTTGCCATATAAGAGAACCGTCTCAGAAGAACAAAAACAAAACCAACCAAACAAAAACTCAATAAAATTTGCCTCTTTTTCCTGTGTCGATACCTAGAAATTCCAAGAACAACATTGACTTCTTTCGTCAATTCCGGAGTTTTAGGCTATGTTCTGAAGTAATTTCTCCGTGCCATATATAAATAAATAAGAAAAAAAAATTTAATCGTCCGTAAATGGTACTGTCTAGTTCTTAAAGAATGAAGGTCTGGTGAACAAACCGATTTCCATTCTGATATTATCCATTTGGAAACACCTTTGTTTCTTCATAGGGGGGTTTGTATTATGTTGTCTTTTATAAGTTTCTTTTCTTTTCCATCCCATCCATTAAGAACTCCAGAGTTTGCAAATAGTTTAATCCCTGGCTTTTATAGATGGAGACACAGAACTGCAAAGTCTTAGGAAACTGATTCAAGGTCACACATTAAATGAAGCAATTTTCTTCACTTAAAAAATGTTCCTCTGGGGACTGGAGACATGGCTCAGCTGTTAAGAGCACTGGTTGCTCTTGAAGAGGACCTGGGTTCAGTTCCCAGCACCCAAATGGTGGTTAACAACTGTCCCTAACTGTTCCAGAAGATCTGACACCCTCTTCTGACCTCTGCAGGCATTGTATGACACAGGTGCACCTACATACACGCAGGCATTACATTCACATACATAAAAAAATTCCTCTGACTGTCTTCCAGTTTTTGTTTATCTTTGTTGAAAACAGTTCAGGTTATAAGTGTATAAGATTTCACTTTGCTTTGACCAGGAGGTGGTCACTTCCTTTAGGCAGGAATGTTCTTCTTTTTCCTTTTTCAAAAAAAGTTTTCTGGGGCTAGAGAAATGGCTCAGCAGTTAAGAACACTGGCTCTTCTTTCAGAAGACCCAGGTTTGAACCCAGCACCCACATGGCAGCTAACAACTGTTTGTAACTCCAGTTCCAGGGGATCTGACAGCCTCTTCTGTCCTCCGCGGCATTGCACAACATGGATGCACTTACACATGCAGGCAATACATGCATAGACAAAATAAAAATAATAAATAAAATATAAAAAACCCCAAACAGAACATAATAATTTGTAAATACTCCTGGGGTTCAGTGATATTTTAATTCATGTATTCCTATAATAATCAGATTTGGGTAATTAGCATATTTATCACCTCAAATGTCATTTCTTTGTGATGAGCACATGTATAACCATGTCTTCCAGCTGTTTGAAAATAGTACATTATTGTTATGTTAACCACAGTCACTGCACCTTAGAACACCGGAGCTTACTCTTCCTGTCTAGTTGTGGCTTTGGCTACTGTGGACTCACAGCTCCTCCTTGGCACTAGGAATCTTTTAAATGACAATAGCCAGGAAAAATACTTAACTCGGTGAGTCCTTGTGATTATGCAGGGATTTGTATTACTAACAGAATTTAAAACTAAAGAATATACTCTAGCTCCTAAAACTCCTTTACAGTGGTGTAAAAGCTGCCAACAATACCTCCTATGTGCTAGTTCTTTGACCATAGAGCATTTGAAAGAAACCTTAGCCGTATACTTATCTTAAACTTTTCTTTTGAAAAAAAATCAAACTAAAGAAAATGTTCCAGCAGCAGTACAATGAATAATACTTGTAGTGCCTTCCCCAAACTTAACATTTTGCCACAAATGCTGTGTCTATTAAAAATTACATGCATACATTTTTCTGTAAAATCACACATGCATTTATTTTTGCTGAACTTGAGAAGAAGTTGCAGGCACCGTGGCTCGTCGCCCATAGATACTTGAGCATATATCTTTAAGAATAGAACGTTTTGGAACCAGAGGTGGTAACATGGCATGTAGTCCTTGGTGACTTGGCATGTAGTCCTAGCTACCTGGGGGACTGAGGTGGCAGAATCACTTGATTTCCTAAAGTTCTATACCAGCTTTGGCAACCTAGTGAGACCCATCTCAAAACAAAGGAAATAAATGAAATCAGAACACAACACCCCAACCCCCAAAGAATAGGATCTTCTCCCAAATAACCATAATACAATCTTTAGGAACTTTATTATTGTTTTAATGTGAATATCTAATATGCAGTTCTGATTCAGATGTCCCCAATGTGTCTTTTATAGCTGTTAGAGTTTTCTTTTAGAAACTCTTTATTTACATGCCTTTTTCCTTTTTAACTAGCACTAACTTGGCATTATTTTAGCATCCCCAACACACTAGTATATAGACATTAACAATATTTCGGTGTGTAACAATTTTTGTTAGGGTTATTCTAGGTACTTCCTTCACCTTTGTTGTTATTTTTTTTAGACATAGTTTATGTCCAATAAAATATTCAATTTAACTTGATGGTTGATTTTTATGTATATATACAAGTTTTAGCCACCATTCAGATAGATATACAGGGCTGGAGAGATGCTTTAGTGGTTAAGCAGTCTCACTGCTCATCCAGGGGACCTGAGTTTCACTCTCAGCACTACAGGCAGTTCCCAACCTGTAACTCCAGCTCCAAGGGATCCAGTGCCCCTGGCCTCCATGGGCACCCACACTTATGTGCGCGCGCGCGCGTGCACACACACACACTTAAATCTTAGAAAAAAGAGATAGTGTGCAGTGTTATTATCTCCAAAAAGCTCCCATGTCCCTTTTATCAATACCCCTTTGGAAAGTAACCACTAATTCTGACTGGTTCGGGTGATGTAAAAAGAGACCATAGGTTCTGGTGAGATGGCTTAATGGGTAAAGGCACTTGCCAAGAAGCCTAAAGGCCTGAATTCTATCCCTAGAACCCATATGGTAGAAGGAGAGAACTAACTAATGCAAGTTGGCCTCTAACCTTCACATGTACCATGGCATTATAAACCCCCTCATAAAATAAATAATAAATTTTTTTTTAAAGATCATAGAAGTATGAATTCTGGGCTTTCTTTGCTTCAATATTACATTTGTGGCTGGAAGTAGTGACACATGCCTTTAATCCTAGCACTCAGGAGGCCTAGGTAGGTGGAGCTCTGTGAATTTGAGGCCAGCCTGGTCTACATAGTGAATTTCAGACCAGCTAAGGCTATAAAGTGAAACCTTGCCTCAGACCCCTTCTCCCCCCGCAAAAAAACCCAAACAGACCATTACATTTGTGAATTTAATTCACTGGTGAGTGAACAATAGTTTCCCCACCTTGTAATACCATCCTGTTATGTGAATATATAATTTATTCATTCTCCTGTTGATGTGCATGGGGCCATTTACATTTTTTCAGTAATTATTAAGCCTGATATAAACATATATGTCTTGGGGTAGACATAGGACTCATTTCTGTTGATATATATCCAGGAATAGGTCAGGAGATAGGCTTTTAGAACAGTGGGAAGTTGCTGGCTTTTAATATTGGAATGACACTAAATCAAGATACTGAGTTATCCAGTTAGCTAGGCATTAATTTATTATGAGAGTCTGTGTGTATTTATGTGTATATGGGCTAAGAGTACAAATTTGTGTGGTTGGTTCTCTCCTTCCACCTTTACATGGGTTCTGGGGTGCGATCTCAGGTCATTAGGCTTGTGCAGCAAACACCCTTAGCATCTCAGTCATCTTGTGGACCCTTTTAGGCATAATTTTGATTAAGTTGTACTCAGAAATGTTTTAGTTTTCTCTTTGTATGAACACTCTTTTTCATTTTCCCTTTACGCTTTCTAATTGCCATCTCTGGCAAATGTTTCTTTACCGTATGTCCTCCTCTACAAATACACACTAGAATTAAACCTTAGAGGATAAGGTTATTTTGTTTGGCTTATTTCTCTATTTCTAGTGTGCCATGTTTAATAACTAGTTGATAGAATGAATGAACATTCTACATAGATTGAAAAGGGGAGGAGTTTGTAGTTGCTGTGTTTTCTGAAGGATAAGTCTGCTGTATTAGGCTTGTAAAAGATGTGCCAGTTAAGGGAATCATTTAGAATGGATGAACCAGAGATGATATTACAGGATGATATGCTGAGATGATAGACTATGAGGTGGAAAGTTGTATGGAAGAAGTTTATGGAAAACTGATAAGGAAAAATGCCTATGGAAGAGTGAAGGTGGGGGAACTAAAGTAGAGGAAATACTGTGCTGAGTTGCACAGAAGCCTGGCATCCCTGTGGGAGATTTGGAACTAGGATGGCTCTTTTGAATAGTCCTAAAGTGTCAAGCGTCAGGTCTTTATATCCATTCTCCTACTCCTATTGATGCCACTGAGTGTGAGCTGCCAGTAGGAAGAAAGTATGGCTTTGGGCAAGGAGATCAAATATGAGAGGACTGGAATGAGAGCTGTCCCAGACAGTGCACTGCGGTGGTGTCCACTACCGATGAAGCTGGGATTTTGTCTTGAGTATAAGGAAGGTGTATGGGTACCAGTCATTCAGCCATCAGATATCTAATGCCAGGGGTTTGTTAGATGCTAGAAGAGGGTGGAGAGAAGGAAACTGGGAAGGAGTTTCAGTTTGGTGGAGAAGATGAGATTGACCTTAGGGTTTCTGAATTTATCTTTCAGATAGAAGTTCCCTGTAGGTCAATGGAGATATGGTAATAAAGCCCAAATGTAAGATAGAACTAGAGATGGCAGGGAAAGTGTAATATTTGATATTTAGCTGGTAGATGAGCTTTTAGTTTTATGTTGCAATTCAGAACTCTGAATTCTGCATTCTGATGATTTAATGTAACAATTTCTTTGTAGTTAGGAAGAACCAAGTGCTTATATAAACAAAATATTTTGAGGAGGTGTTTTTTACAAGAACAACTGCCAAATCACTGTCATATGTAAATATATCTTCAATTTTTCTAGGTTCTTGGAAATTCTGGATTGTTTAATAAGTATGGACTCCAAATGCAACAGCAACAGCAAAGGAATCTCTCACTACATGAATACATGAGTATGAAATTGTTGGAAGAAGCTGGTGTTTCTGTTCCCAAAGGATTTGTGGCAAAGTCATCAGATGAAGCTTATGCAATTGCCAAAAAATTAGGTACTCTAAGAAAAACTTGGTCACCTTGACATGGAAACTTTGATATGAACTTTACTTTTGACTTGATGACAACTTTTGGCACTTATTTGTTTATTGGTTGGTTGTTTTTTGAGGTACGGTCTCATGTAGCCAAGGACAAGTTTGAACTCCTGATCCTTCTGCCTTTACTTCCCAGTGTAAGAACTATAGACATGCCACCACATCTTACCTGACTTTTATTTAAAAAAAAAAAAAAAATTGGGACTGGAGAGATGGTTCAGCAATTAAGAGCACTGGCTGCTCTTGTGGGGGACCTGGGTTCAGCTCCCAGCATGTGTATGTCAGCTAACAACTGTCTGTATCCAACACCCTCTTCTGGCCTCCACAGGCATTGCACACATGCGGTTCCACTTATATACATGTGTACAAACCACTCATACACATAAAACAAAAATAAAATGTAAAAATAAATGACTTAGAAGGTCAAACTCTATGGCTGTTGAAGTTTTTGCAGTTATTATGAGATGATTTCGAACTTCTGGAGTGTACTAACACTACAGACGTAGGAATCACTTGCTGGTACTAGGAAGCTAAAATTCTGTTTTTAGTTGGATCATAGTTATGGGGAAAGAGATTCTGTTAACTTGGCTGTAGCCTAAAGATGGTGGCTGTGATGGTTTTTTTCAGGGTAATGGTGAAGGAAAACCTTAGCTGTTTAGGTGTAACTGAAGAGAGATCTAGTACTTCTTTCTTTCACTGTGGAAAGTCTGAATGTTGCCAGATTTCTCTCTAGGTCTTTTGCGCTATCAGGCAAACCATATAACATATCTTTATGTGCATTTATTATTATCGTGGGGGAGGGAGAGAGGAGTAACTTACAAAGGAGTGAGCACCCAGTGCCTAGCCCTGCACCCGCTCAGCTCCAGTGGCACCTCTGGCTGCACTGCTCAGAGCCTGCCATACCAGACTGCTCTCGCACCACACCCACGATCACCTCTAGCATTTGCTCGTGCCTCAGGGGCCAGCAATCTCGCCCCAGGTCCATAAGTGTCAGCCCATTCTGTCCTTGCCTGGCTGCTGCGCATTCCCCACTCCCACTACTCATTAGTTACTCATTACTTGTGGGTCCCCGCTCCTGTCCCAAGATAGTGCCACAAACCCCTCCTTCCGCAGCTCACTCTGCCCAGTCCATTCTCTGCAGCAGGCCTCTCCCCTTGGAGGAACTAGAACACCTGGGAACACACTGGAAGTACTGGGGATAAACAAGAAGCTGAGCTCTAGAATGTAAGCTCCAGGAGACCAGGGCTTGCCTGGTTTGTTCACTGATATGCCCCTAAGTTGAGGAGGGTGCTTGATGCTTAGGTGACAAATAGATATTAGTATCTATTAAGTGAAATCAGTAGTTGCTCATATTTGTTATTACATTCTCTTATTGACAGAATCCTTAATAACTTTTGTTAATTTTAAGTTGTATCATGTTTTAGAAAACGGCTTGATTTTACTAAATAAGTTTAAATTTTTTAAAGATTTAGTATGGAAATAGTGAAATGATGCATTTTCTGCATAATAGTGTTTAAATCCTACCAGTTTATGTAGATAAGCATAGTCATCCTGCATGTATTTTGATTAATATGACTTTAAATGTGCTTTGGTGGAAGCCTTTTATTTTTATTATCTTTTCACAAAAAAATACAGAACATTTAAATGTTTAAAATTAAAATTTTTATCTTGGTTTGTACTTGTTTCAAAAATGGATTTTTCTTTTAAAAATTTTCTTTTTAAAATGAGAATATTACTGTATAAACTGTTTTGAATGAGATGACCATTATTTTCTTGGCTTGGAAGTGTGACTTTTCATTTATAACTTTTATTATTATAATCAGAATTTTTTTCAGATTATTTAGCAAAAATTTGAATTTGTATGTGGTTACTTTCAGTAAGTAGGTCCTGATTTATATATTAATGAAGTCAGTTAAACTTTTTCACCTATTTCTAAATTCTTATAATTAATTTTTTTAAAAAAACTAATTTTATGGATTTTTTTTCTACTTAAATTTTATTTATTTATTTTTTAACTTTAATTTTATGTGTATGAGTGTATTGCCTGTGTGTATGTGAGTGCACCCATGTCATGCAATGCTGCGGAGGTCAGAAGAGGGCTTAACTGGAGTTAAGGATGGTTCGTAGCTGCCATGTGGGTGCTAGGAATCGAACCCTGGTCCTCTGCAAAAATTTTATTTTTTTTCTAAAAAAAATTATTGAAAAACTTAAAAAAAATGAGATGATTATTCTAATTCTTTCGTATTCCTGGCAACTTCTGTAAAGAGCAGGTTTTTAAAGTTTTTTTTTTTATTATTTATGTGAATGTATGTGTGCTTGTGTGAGTTTGCATGCACCAAGTGCATGCAGGTACCCACGGAGATAGAAGAGGGTGTTGGAGCCCCTGGAACTGAAGTTACAGGTGACTGTGAGTCCCCATGTGGGTTTGGGAACTGAACCCAGGTCCTCTGAAAGATCAGCCAGAGCTCTTAACCACTGAGCCATCTCTCCAGCCCTAGGAGCTCTCATTTTGAGGCCCTTGGAACAGAGACTATCTTATTCATTAAGAAAGTATGTTCTTGTCACAAAATATTGACAGTTAGAGTGTCAGATCTGTAATAGAGGTTAGGAGTACAAGCTCTGAGAGGAAAGGATAGGTTTCTCTTGTCACTGGTCTGTCTACATCTCCTACATGGTGTCTGGCCTGTAGATGAATCTGTTGAATGAATTAATGGAGTTGAATAAAATATTTCAATCAGTTGTCTTTATATTTACCTTCTAACTCTTTTCCCCTTCTCTATATGTTTAGATATAAATGACTATTTCTAAAGTACTGGAAAAATCAGGTAACCAGGATGAGATAAATAATGGCTTCTCTTTTTCTTTGAACCTTACCTCTCTAATGGTCCCTGAGGATGTCTGTTGATTTCTCATTAAGAAAATTGTTGGTTTTTGAGTTAATATTTAAATTATCTCTAATCTTTACCTATTATTTGTTTTAACACATTTGTGAATGGTAGATCCTGTGACATAATGAAAAATATTGGTCTTGTCTAAATAAGGCACTCCTAAGCTCCAATTGCAGGACTGTGGACCTGGTATTTTCAGATCTGAGTTTTTTCAAGGGCAGTGGGAAAAAAAATCTAGAATTGCAAGGTTCTGTTCATTTTTAACACGTTCCTTCTTTCAACGTTCAGCAGAATATATCTTGGGAACTCTTACAGCAGCTTTTAAACATCAGTGAATACAATAAAGAATCTGCCACCCCTGAATCTACATTCTAGTGGGGAAACAAAGCAACAAATGATATATGTGAGAAAATTGTGTATTATCTGAGCAGCTGTTGATTCTTTTGTGAGAAAGAGTGAATCTGAGAAGGGAAATGGGTTGGAGGTGGGCAGATTGCAGTATTAACTAGATTGATCAGGGTAAGTAAGCTTAAGGGACAATGTGAGATTTAGAGAGAAACTTGACAGGACAGCTAGTTGGAGAGTACTTCATTCAGGTGCAGTAGAGTCCTGATGGCAAGAGGAGACTAGTACAGCTGGAGTGCAGTGAGCAGGGAGGTCCTAGAGCTAAAAGGGCATCATGTGGGCCATGTAAGTACTATGGCTTTTACTGGCTGGAATGAGTATTCAGAGTGGTTATTAAGTATTAAGTAGAATATCATTTGCTCAGTGGCTCCTGCTTTAAAATATTACATGGGGGATTGATGTCATCCAGGTGAGAGCTAATGATGGCTGGGACAGATACCCGACTGGAGGTGATGAGAAGTGGCCAAGAATCTGCATAAAGCTTTTAGGTATAACTAGTATGATTTCCTAATGAATGGCTGTGGGGTATGAGTTTTTTTTTGTTGTTGTTTGTTTGTTTGTTTGTGTTAAATAATTGTGACTAGCTCATAAGATCATCTTCTGATTTAAGTAGTAAACATTTCCAAAATAGGTTAATTTACATAGTTTTCTAAGTATTCTTTTATACTTATGGTATGCACTGTAGCTTATTCTTATTTCATCGCAAGTAGCATCTCTTATCTCGATTGATTGGTTTTTTTCTGGAAATTGGTTCTTCCTGGAAATGACTTTTTCTCATTGTAGAGTATGGCTCTCAGCTTGTTCAAATACTTGTTTATAGAGCAGTGGTTATACCCCTGAGACTTTGTGCTTGAGATACAGCAAATAGCCTAAGGCCCTATATTTCCCATAATATAGTAAATGGGGCTCTACTGCCAGTGTGTGCAAAATGCTACAGAGGCAAAATGAAGAGGATTAGAAATTGTGCATGTCTGTGAGACAGAGAATGCCTTTCTAAGAGGTATTACCTTGAAAGTGAACAGTGACTAGAATCTAGAGTAACTAACCAGTTTGCTAGTTTTTTTTTTTTTTTTTGATGTGTGTGTGTGTACGTTGTACATGTGTACGGTCTCTTGTGTTCATGCACATTAGGTCAGAAGTTGACACTGAGTGTCTTCCTTTATTGTTCTCCACCTTATTTATTTATTTATTTATTTATTTATTTATTTATTTTGGTCTTTTTGATTAATTTAAAAAAAAATTTTAAAGAAGATTTATTTCTTACATGTATGAGTATGTTTCCTGCATGGCTGTAAGTGTAGCATGTGTGTACAGTACCCAAGGAGGCCAGAAGAAGTTGTCAGATCTCCTAGAATTGGAATTACAAATGGTTGTTAGCTACCAAGTGGGTGCCGAGAACCAAACCTGGGGCCTCTGCAAGAGCAGAAAGTGCCCTTAACTGCTGAGCCATCTTTTCAGCCCCATCCACCTTATTATTTTTTTAACATTCTATTTAGGAGCTAGAGAGATGGCTCAACATGCAAGAGTACTTACTGCTCATCTAGAGGACCTGGGTTCAGTTCTCAGCACCCACATTGTGGTTAGCATCCATTCTTAATCCATTCCCAGGAGGTCTCATGCTCTCTTCTAATGTTTGAGGGCACCAGGCACACGTGGTGCACTTATATAGGTGCAGGCAAACTACTCATACACATGAAGTAAATATAAATCTTAAAAAAATTATTGTTGTTATGTGTATGTAGTGTGTATGAGAGTGTGGGCATGCTCATGCCATGCTATGTGTATGTAGATAAGAAGACAACTTTTAGAAGTCAGCTCTCCTGCTATTGGACCTGGAGACTGAACACAGGTCCTTAGGCTTGTACAGCAAACAATTTTACCTGCTGAGACATCTCGCCAGCCCTCCACCTTATTTTTTTGAGACAGGGTCTCTTACTGAACACTCAGCTAGGCTGAGGGTCAACAAACCTCAGTGTTCTACATTGTCTCTGCCCTCCTTAGCACTGGAGTTTCAGGCATGCAACTGTGCCTGGGGTACTGGGGATCTGAACTCAGGCCCTCATGCTTATACAGCCATCACTTTACCCACTGAGCTGTCTCCTCAGCCCCAAGTTTGCTAGTTTTATACAGTAAATTAGAAAGGGTAGGAAAAGGAATAGTGTTTATTCTACTTGTTAAGGAATACAAATTATACTATTTATAAACTATATGACTGACTTAAAAGCATAGTATCCTGGGAATTTTTAGTATACCTGTCTTACTCCTAATAAGCCCTCATAACATTACTGCTCAGTAGTGTATGGTAACAGGACTTTGTGTTAGTGGGAGAGTATAAATCAGTGTCAGTACAGGTACTGGTAGTATCCCAAGTCATAGCATATTCCTGCTCAAAGTAGCAGTTATGACTCATTCACAAGTTTGTTTACCTGTGAGACTAGAGAGACCAGGAGGTGTTAAGGAAACATTTAAATGTCATTTCTGTACTTTAGTACCTTCTAGAGCATTTGATGTTTTAAATGTCAAAGAATAGTTAAAATATTTTCACTAAACAGTACTTTCAGAAATGATTGGATATGTCTGATCTTTTTAAGGCATAGGTCTTTTAAATGGTGAATGTTCTGTCTTTTGAATCTAGAAAAATTTATGCATGGAATGCTCATCTTTTTACATTGTGGATATATGGAACTTTAATGACATATATTAGTGTATATGTTAAATAAAATACAGTCTTGCATATGGTTCCCTGCTTCCTATATAGTAAAAAGTTTTTCTTATAGGTTCAAAGGATGTTGTGATAAAAGCTCAGGTTTTGGCTGGTGGTAGAGGAAAAGGAACATTTTCAAGTGGCCTCAAAGGTGGAGTGAAGATCGTGTTCTCGTAAGTCAGAGCTTTTAAAGAAGATTCATTCAAGATTATCACATTTTGGAACTATGCATACTGAAATTTAACTGAGACTTTAGCTATGATGTTGATTTGAAGTGTTTTTCTTATTGTAGTCCAGAAGAAGCAAAAGCTGTTTCTGCACAGATGATTGGGAAAAAATTGATTACCAAGCAAACGGGAGCAAAGGGCAGAATATGCAATCAAGTTTTGATCTGTGAGCGAAAATATCCCAGGAGAGAATACTACTTTGCGATAACAATGGAGAGGTCATTTCAAGTGAGTAATTATAGACATGGCACATTAGGATTTTTTTTTATAACATTCAGTTTAAAAGTTGAATGATATTTATATGAGAAGGAATAAAAAACATGACACATGATCCACACAGAGAGTTTGTCATTTTTGAAAAACAGTATGGATACTGGACAGGCTTGTGCTTTTAATCCCAGCCCTTGGGAGGCAGAGGCAGGTGGATCTCTGTGAGATCGAGGCCAGCCTGATTCACATCAAATTCCAGGCCAGTCATGACTAGGGAGACCCTGTCAAAAAACAATCAACAAAAACCAAAAACTAAACAAAAAAAGAAAGCCAATATGGTAACTGTTATAAAATTTGACAAATAGTGTAATTTTTAAAAAGCTATGGAAAAACCCTCCTGCAATAAATTTCATGGTATTTTCAAGTTGTTAATTCACTACAAATAGCATAAATCCCTGGGTCATCTTTGGATTCATAGAATGAGAAAGTTATTTTCTTGTGTAATAAAATATTCTCACCAAAGAGAAATTCTCCGTATAAACTAAGAACATGTATATTCATGGCTTCATTTTTTTCTTTTTATACTTCTTGGTACTTACTTTTTGTTATGTTTTGTTTTGCCAAGTGATTTTGTTTTTTTGTAAGTTGAAGGTGACTAAGTAGTAAACTATGTCGTTTAAAGGAGCAACAGCCCTGTTTTGGAGACAGGGTCTCTCTGTGGTCCTAGCTGGCCTAGAACTCACTATGTAGACCAGGCTGGCCTTGAACTCACAGAGATCCAAATGCTGGGATTAAAGGCATGCACCACTACACCCAGCCCTGTTTTTCTCTTTACAGAACTAAAATTCTATCATTGCAAATGTGAATCAGGTTCAGTGTGATTCCTTTCATAGGTATGATACATGGAGGGGTATTTTACACCATCACTACCTATTTTTGAGTTCCTTAACTCTTAGAGACAGAATCAGCATGTTAACTTGCTTGTTTGAAGCAAACTGTAGCATGTTGGGAGACTCCAGTAAGGATTTCATATGGAAAATTATTATTGTGTGCAATTTAGAATAATAACTTTTTTATATAGAACAACTTTAAAAAAAAAACAGTATTTTTTCTTCATTTCTTTTTCTATTTTTTGATCATTTCAAGACAGGATTTCCCTGTAGCCCCAGCTGGTTGAACTCTCTTATGTAGACTAGGCTGGCCTTGAACTCACAGAGATACGTCTGTCTCTGCCTCCCGAGTGCTAGGACTTCATGACAGTATTTTTTTTTCTCATTATTTATTTAATAACCACATAATTAAAAGAAGCATTTCATTACAACAGCATTGACATATTCAATAACAATTTCTAGAGCTAAGATGCATCTCTTTTGAAATTGGCTGTAAATTTTTAGGTTTACAGTTGAATTAATACAGTTATACAATATTGTACTCAGCATAAACCCTATAAGACATAAAATTAAATGAGGTTTTAACCTTTAAAAAAGATCTCCATTTCATTATTAAAATACACAGTTTCATACAGAAAAATTCATTTTTTGATGCAATTGACAGTAAGATGTTTGCACATGCGTTTCTAATCTCTATATATCTGATTATTACTAGTCACAGTCTTACTTTCTGAGCTTCTTGGAATCTGAGCATGGATATAAAGTCATCAGGTAGATTTCAGTGGTAATGTTTTTCACATCTACTAATTATTAAGGAGCAAATTTTTATGCTTTGAAGAATTATTATTATTTTTTTATTTATTTTTTTACACCCATTCCCCAGATAGCACCCTCCCATAGCCTCCCTCCCCCCACTAGAGCCCTTATACTCTGATATCCCTGCTATTATACAATATTGAACTCAGTATAAACCCTGTGAGATATAAAATTGAATGAGTTTTTACCCTTTAAAGAGGATCTCCATTTTAAAATATAAATATATTGTTTCCTACATTTCTTTAATGTTACTTTTTATTTTTTTTAGAAGAAGCATATCATTACAACTTTAATATGCTCAATAACAGTTATTTCCAGAGCTAAGATGCATCTCTTTCAAAACTGGCCGTAA